GCCTCGGCCTCCCAAAGTGCTGGGATTACAGGCTTGAGCCACCGCGCCCGGCCCTGTTTTTTTTTTTCCTAACAATCTTTGTGAATTGAGCAAAATATGGAACAATGCACAAATTTGCATGTAATCTTTGCGTAGGCAACATGCTAATCTATATCGTCCCATTTTTAGTATATGTGCCGCTGAAGGGAACACCATTATTCCTTCGGACATGGCTGCACAAACCACTGAATAGTACTAACGGTGAAGCTCTAGGCTATACTGCCACGTCGCTAGGTAAAGTAACCTCACCTGGGTCTTCAGACAACAGTAAGAGGTAGGTAAGTATTATCTCTATTCTCAGGTGAGGAAGCTGAGGAACTAGAAGGACTAGTTAGAGGAATGCTACGAATGGATTTGGCACATATTTTAAAATATACTCCTTATTCTCAAAAAGCATCCTCTGAGAAGTGACATAATGGCAATTTTCAAGCCAAAATCCAAGTATTTAGCACTCAGGTGTCTAAAATGGACACTTCTTTAGTAGTCACTCCAATTCAGCAGCATGGTATCTCAAAGAGAGGGCTTTGGAGTTATACTGGAAGTCAGATCCCACCTCTGCTATCCATTTTCTTTGGACACTAACTCCCTTGAGTTGTTTGATCTAACTATGGACTTTTGGATAAGTTACTGATATGGTTTGGCTCTGTGTACTCATCCAAATCTCACCTTGAATTGTAATCCCTACAATCCCCATGGGTCAAGGGCAGGACCAGGTGGAGGTAACTGGATCATAGGGGACGTTCCCCCATGCTGTTCTCGTGATAATGAGTCTCACGAGATCTGATGGTTTTACGAGCATCTGGCATTTCCCTTGCTTGCACTCATTCTCTCTCCTGCCACCCTGAGAAGAGGTGCCTTCCACCATGGCTGTAAGTTTCCTGTGGTCTCCCCAGCCATGCAGAACTGAGTAATTAAACCTCTTTTCTTTATAAATTACCCAGGCTCAGGGATTTCTTCACAGCAGCATGAGAATGGACTAATACAGTTACTTATCTCTCTGAACTGCAATTTTTCATCCTTAAAAATGGGAGAAATAATACCAACTACATAGCTAGCAACAGTTAGCACTTTAACTGTATTTAATGTGAGCCAGTCATTGTGCCATGTCACATGGATTACTACGACCCTCTGAGTTAGGTTTTATTATTAACGCAGCTTTTACAGATGAGGCTACTGGGACACAGAGGGCATAAACAACCTGCCAAAGTCATGCAGGAAACAGATAGGACAGGCAAATCTGAAGCCAGGTTGTCTGAGCTCAGAATCCACACCTGTAACCGCTGTGCCCCATTCCTTTTGCTGGTGGGAGCTCACATACTTAGGACAGACAATCAGTACAGTGCTAGGCTCACTGCAGGTGTTGAACAAATGTCTGTTCACTCTTTTTGTTCTCAAAAGAACTAGGAAAAGCCAGAAGAAAAAACCACAAGACTTAGAAACTGCAGTGGATCAGATCACTCAGTAGCACCTCACTAGAAAATATTACCAGTCTTGTAAAGCGCAAAATTTATGTTGCAATTGTAGCGATCATGATTCTAGCTATCTTCTTGACACATGGTAAAACTGCATTTTATGCCTCAGTTGGTTGTATTGAGCAACATGACTAATTCTGGAAAATGAGTTGAGCAGAAGTAACATGTATCATTTCCTGGAATTTTAAACTGATGGTTTAAGACCCTCCAAAACTCTCTCCCTCTGCAACAGCAACCAGTCCACAACGGCCATACTTCCTACAATGACCAACTTAATGAACACATAGCATGATAGAGAAATAAGTCTCATTGATTAAGCCAATGAGATGTATTCCACAGCAGAACCTAGCCCACCCTAATCAATAAAGTAAACCAGTTATCTCCCATGAGCTGCTAACACATTCTTTGTTACATATTAATACAATCAAGAGTTTCAACCTTTGTCCAATGTTAACAGTAGGCATATGGGATAAATGAAGATGTATTTACCTAAGGTTCTCCCCACCCCAAAGGCTAAGCGAATGTAAGATAGTTTTAGGTGTCTTTTGATTCGATCAATCATGGTTGCCAGGGAGACAGATTCATCCAGTGTGCATAACCGTCCCATTCCAGTATGTTGAAGCAAAGGCTGAGGAGAAACAGAAGTTACAAACCTTGTCCATTGTCACTCCTGAAACAACAAATGCTAAAATCAATCAACATGCACACTGTGAAGTTACTATAGCAAGCTCCAGGCTAAATGTGGGGATACAAACCTGACAAAAACATTCTTTCTTCTAGGAGCTCACACTTTCCTAGGAAGGCAGATGTTTAAATCAATAATCAGGCCAGGCACGATGGCTCACGCTTGTAATCCTAGCACTCTGGGAGGCTGAGGTGGGTGGATTACTTGAGCTCAGGAGTTTGAGACCAGCCTGGGCAACATAGTGAGACCTCATCTCCACAAAAAAATCCAAAAATTAGCTAGGCACGCTGGCATTCGCCTATAGTCCCAGCTACTCGGGAGGCTGAATGGAAGGTGGGCTTGAGCTACGCAGGAGGCAGAGGTTGTGGTGAGCTGAGATTGCACCACTGCACTCCAGCCTGGGCGACAGAGCCAGACCCTGTCTCAAAAATAAATAAATAAAATAAACAAAATAATAAAACTGTTTAAATAGGTGCTAAAATCTACCACCTGCATAGAAGTAGGTGCTACTGTTGCAGCTGCACAAGAAATGACAAACTAAATGAGCTGTGACTTGGGAGAGCTGGGAATACTTGGAGGAAGGACTCAGGTCTTAGAGAAAACCCTAAAAAGAGTTTAAAAAGGGGAAATAAAAAAGAGTTTAAAAGGAGGTGATGTCAAGTGCAGTGTGGCAGGACAGAGGTATAATGAGATGGAGGAAGCCATTCTAAACAGAAAGAACATGGACAAAGGTGCCAAAGGCTTGAGAGAACACACTGGGGAGGCAGATCCAAAAGAAGAGAAGACACTCTGGCTACTGTGCAGGGCACATGCCGTGGAAGGAGAGGAGTCTAGAGGCCCGGGCTGTAGCAGATCATTAAGGGCTTCTGACACTGTGCTAAAGAGCCTGGACTGCCTCCTAGCTGCTCAGTGACTACTCTCATTGCAGAAAATGAGAGTTTCAATTACTGTGATGGCAGAGCCAATACAGAGAAGAAACACTATATAGATATGAGGCCAGAATCAACAGGGTTTGGAGTCAAGGAGGAATGTGAAAACTTGGAAACTAAAGTAAATAATGATATTGAAATAGGAAATAGGAAAAAAAAAAAAAGATACAAAGGGGTGGTTCAGGGATAAGTATTTGTATATATTGAATTTGAAAAACCTGTGGGCTTTGTAAGTAGAAAACATCCAGAAAGTAGTTGAAAATATGGGTTTTTGTCATTTTTTTCCTTAAGAAAGCATTCTAAGCCAAAAAGATAGGAATCATCATCATACAAATGGCTATAAAGTGAATGACATGGTCCAGGCAGAGGGAGTAACATAAGGAGAGAGCAAACTTGTAAGCAAATCTGTAACCCTGAAGTACCAACATTTTAATTCCTGGAATGTCTCCCTTCTCAATTACTTCCCAGAGAATATTATGCTGTCATTGCCATTTTGTACTTTAGGTAACAGTGAGTGGCCTGTTGATCTAATAATTTACAAATGGATTCCCTGAAGAAAAATGCAAAGTAATGACACTCATCAAACTGTACATACCAAATATATATGATTCTTAGTATATTGGTTATACCTCAATAAAGTTGTTAGAAAATGCACAGTATTTTAAGATCAAATACAAAATATTTTTATTACCTTCTCTAGTGACAGAATTTCTGTCTTCTGATAAAGTTGTTTGTTCTGGGAAAGAAAATCTACCACCTGCATCAAAGCCTTCTGAGTACAATTCAAACTAATCCGTGTTTGTTCCTCATCATCAATCCTAGGGGGGGAAATCATTCCATTTAGGATAAATATAGCCAAAATGTATTTTAGATAATCCACAAACCTACTAAAATAGGAGATTACATTTACATGGAGCTAAGGATTTAACCAATAGAACCCATTTAATATGAAACTAATCAGTTTTCTAGAATAGCATTTCTCTAACTCGGGTATGCATCAAAATCACCTGGAGGACTTATTAAAACACAGAGTGCTAGGCCCCACCCCTGGAGTTTCTGATTCATTATATCTAGGTGGGAGTCTGAGAATATACCTTTCCAGCAAGTTCCAGGTGATGCTGATGTTGCTGGTCCAGGGACCTCACTTTGAAACCACTGTTCAAGAACTGTTCTCAATCCTGATCTGGCACAGTGGCTCACACCTGTAATCTCAGTATTTTGGGAGGCCAAGGTGGACGGATTGCTTGAGCCCAGGAGTCGAGACCAGCCTGGGCAACATGGAGAAAGCCCATCTCTACAAAAAACACCAAAAAAATTAGCCAGGCATTGTGGTGGGCGCCTGTAGTCCCAGCTACTAGGGAGGCCGAGGCAAGAGAATCACTTGAACTTGGGAGGTGGAGGTTACAGTGAGTGGAGATCACAACACTGCACTCCAGCCTGGGCAACAGAGCGAGACTCTGTTTCAAAACAAAAAAAAAATTCCTTCTAGCTTCTTAAAATAACAGCTGCTGGATTCTTCCACAGAACCAGTGAAACAGAACATCTACAAATGGGGCTGGGGCAAACTGAATTTTTTTAAAGCCTTAGAGATGATAATTTTAAAACAACACTGAATCCAAGAATGTCCTGGACAGATTCTCAGGCAAACTCCATTTTACTTACAAAGATCTGAGATAAATACAAAAATCTGCATTTTAAATAAGCATCTCATTAACAATCATGCAGGGGGTCCTTGGATCACCGCCTGGGGCCTCTCCAAAATTACTGGCATCAAGAAAGTTTTACATTTAACCATAAACTCTAAATACGATCACAAAATTCTAGAACTAAAAAGACACCTTTAAAAATAATCTAGAAGCATTAATTATAAACACTGCAATCATCTGTGGATTTTTTTAAAAAAAGAAAACCAATGCCTTGGTCCCTATCTAATGGTAAAACCCAGATATTATCTACAATATGGAAAAACTGGAACCAAACTAATAAGTCCATCAGTAGGAAGAGGAATGCTTAAAACTACCGTTCATCCATAACAAAAAAAACACTATAGGCAATTAAAAATAATGAGAGCTTAGGCTGGGGGCAGTGGCTCAATCCTAGTACTTTGGGAGGTCAAGGGTGGTACATGGCTTGAGCCCAGGAGTTCGAGACCAGCCTGGGCAACAAGTCAAAACTCCGTCTCTACAAAAAATACAAAAATTAGCTGGGCATGGGTGGCAAGCACCTACAGTCCCAGCTAATAGGGAGGCTAAGGTGGGATGATGGCTTGAGCATGTGAGGTCAAGGCTGCAGTGGGCTGTGATCATGCCATTGCACTGCAGCCTGGGTGACAAAGACCCTGTTTCTCAAAACTAAAAAACAAAAAAAGAAAAACCTCCTTTCTCTGCCCTAAATAACTAAATGACTGACCTTTTAAAGAGGCGCTTAATGTATTTTTCCTTTGACACCTGTAGTCCTAGCTCCTTAAGAGGCTGAGGTGGGGCTGGGTGTGGTGGCTCACGCCTGTAATCCCAGCACTTTGGGAGGCCGAGACAGGTGGATCACTTGAGGTCAGGAGTTCAAAACCAGCCTGGCCAACATGGTGGAATCTTGTCTCTACTAAAAATATAAAAAATTAGCCGGGCATGATGGTGGACGCCTGTAATCCCAGTTACTTGGGAGGCTGAGACACGAGAATCACTTGAACCCAGGAGGCAGAGGATGCAGTGAGCCAAGATCACACTATTGCACTCCAGCCTGGGCGACAAAGCAAGACTCTGTCTCAAATAAATAAGTAAATAAATAAAACAAAATGCAGAGTATCATCCCCCAACATAGAAAATAATTGTTACTTATCGTTTTTATTGTTTTGAAAAAAAGTCAATAGTTCTCCAGGACCCACATACAAATGAGGAGTACGCTGCTTTGTAAACCAACTCCAGAGAAAATGATTTGTTTCAAGCCTAAATACCAGGGTTATAGACTTTGTAAAGAAGAAGCTTACAAATAAATACACAAAAAAAAGAGAAAAATAAATTGTACCTCGCAGAAAAAGAAGTGACAGAAACATCTTCAATTCCTTTCATTGCAGACATGACTTTGTCCAGGTCTTGGCTGTGATTAATGCTGAATTCTACTCGGTGGTTTCCCTCTGTAGGGTAGTTGGGAGCTTTGGAAGGATGTATGGGCCTGGAGGTACAATCTCCTAGAGAAAATAATTGTGGAAAATGGGAGTTTTGGGGGATGAGAGGTTAAGATTTAAAAGATAAACTATTGTAGGCAAAATTTCTAAGAAATGACTTTTTTTTAAAAGATTCATTCTCGCCGGGCGCGGCGGCTCAAGCCTGTAATCCCAGCACTTTGGGAGGCCGAGGCGGGTGGATCACAAGGTCAAGAGATCGAGACCATCCTGGTCAACATGGTGAAACCCCGTCTCTACTAAAAATACAAAAA